TCCGAGATCCAGACCTGGGACAAGTTCTGCTGTTAAGGCTGCAGCGACCACATGGCTTTGCCTCTCCCCAGGGTCCCCAGCGCACCACAGTGATGTGCAGAGTCTGCTGCGCTCACAGTTTTTTGACACAGGGCTGAACCACTGCTTTGATGTCAGGGCCTGGTGCTCTTCCTGCCGCACCCTTGGACTATCAGCCCCCTGAGGGCCGGGCTGGCTTCTGCAGGCCAGGGCCCTCAATAAGGCTTTCTGAGCTTGGGAGGTCTGTCAGCGCTGGCTGCCTGTGGAGTCCGGAAGGAAGTTAGCTGAGGGACTAGGAATTGAGAACGCACTTTAAAGCACCTGAGAAAACGGGCCCAGGAACTGACTCCTGCAACTCCACAGCACGCTAGACAAACTGTATGCTGGGGCCAGCACTGTGGCACTGCGGCACAGTGGGTTAAGCCACTGCCTACAATGCCAGCATCCCATATGGGTGCTGGTTCAAGTCCCAGCTGCTCCAATTCTGATCCAGCTCTCTGCTGGTGTGCCTGGGAAGACAGCAGAGGATGGCCCAAGTGCCTGGGCCCCTGTACCCACTTGAGAGACCCAGAAGAAGCTCCTGGCTCCTGGCTCCTGGCTTCAGCCTGGCCCACCACTAACTGTTGTGGCCATTTGGGGAGCAAACTAGCAGATGGAAGATATCTCTCTCTCTCTGTGTGTGTGTGTGTGTGTGTGTGTGTGTGTGTGTATGGGGGGGGTCTTTCTCTCCAACTCTTCCAAATAAATAAATAAATATTTTTAACAAAAGATGCTCATAATCATTTTTTTTTGACAGGCAGAGTTAGACAGTGAGAGAGAGAGAGAGACAGAGAGAAAGGTCTTCCTTTTTCCATTGGTTCACCCCACAATGGCCGCAGAGGCACCGCGCTGATCCGAAGCCAGGAGCCAGGTGCTTCTCCTGGTCTCCCATGCAGGTTCAGGGCCCCAGAACCTGGGCCATACTCCACTGCACTCCCGGGCTACAGTAGAGAGCCGAACTGGAAGAGGAGCAACCAGGACAGAATCCAGCCCCCCAACCGGGACTAGAACCTGGGGTGCCGGTGCCGCAAGCAGAGGATTAGCCTATTGAGCCACGGCGCCAGCCCATAATCATTTTCTAAGAAAAAGTGCATGTATTATTATTGCCCATCTCCTAGAAGAAGAAGCGGAGACTCTGCAAGATGAGATTACACTCCCGCATCACACGATAATAAGTACAGAATAAAGGCTAGAAATCTATTCCAAGCATTTACCTTACGCCATCAGAATGAAAAGGTGGGAGGGAAACCCAGAGATGGCCACTTTGTATGTGTCTCCACCATGATCAGATCTAGACATTCCAGGGCAGCTCTGCCTAACCTACAGATGGTGAGTGCTACACGGCTAACACATAAGGCACTGAAACTCAGAGGGCAGAAATAGCATCAAGGTAGAAGAATGCCCTCGAAGCCTGAGAAAGGACAATGCAGAGACAAGAGGAATCAGAGGCAGGCACTACTCAGAGGGCTGAGTCTGGGAACGGGGAGAAGCAGGGATTAGAGAAACGAGAGGCGTGAGGAGGCCGCTGGGTGTGCAAAGGACACAGGGAGGCAGAGGAGGCAGCAGGAGAGGAGGGCGGAAGGGAGAGAACAAAGGGAAAGGGCAGCATGAGCGTGAAAGCAGGAGGAAAGGGGAGCGGACAGGCAGAACAGGCCTGCATGGCCGGGGCAGAAGGGCACAGACACGCCTGCTTCTGGGTTTGATGCTACGGATCACCCTGGAGAACAAACTGTGTGGGCTTTCGCTCCTCTTCTCTCCAAGGATCAGCCAGCAGAGATTAGAACATAAGGAAGAAGACACAGATAGAACGAGGTTAGGAGAACATGAGTGATTCAGAGAGTCCAAAGTGAAAGGAGAAGCATACATCAGGGATATAAGGAAGGCAGCAGAATCATGAAAGGGTCGGCCAAGTTAGCACCTGCCAGAAGGAAGCGGAAGCCTCCCTCGAAGGCTGAGACCTGGTTGAGTCACCAGGAAACTGGAACAGCGTCAGTCGAGCAGGAGCCGGGGTCCAGAACAATATGGCACCTGTATTTGAGGATGGTGGTCTTAGGACTAAGAGGACACAAAACACACAGCAGTGCAATTGAGGGGAACCCTCACAGGCTGGTGCTTGGGAAACCAGCACATTGCTGGCAGGTGACCCACAAACATGCACCTTTTAATGGCAAATATCTACAGCTAACATTCATGTCTGCATTGCTCATTGTTTCACATGTGTTTGTCCAACTGCCTTGGAGGTGTTGCCCACCATGACAAATCTACAGGAACAGAACCTGGAGTGTATTGGTCTGAGTCGGGGATTCCGCAATGGCAGCAGTCACAGGCTGCTGTGTGAGGAGCGATGACTGATGCAGACAGTAGATCTGTGGGTCGTGAAGATGGAAGTAGCACAGCCAGTGATGCAGGTCCAGATGGAGCTGCTGACTACAGCAGGGATGGCGAGTAGAAGGCGGGTGAAATAGTGGCCACGTAGGCAGCAGAAGAGATTCCATTAATGGTGAGGATGGTGAGAATTATGGTGACGATGGTTAGAATGATGAAGATGACCCCTGAAAAGCTAGGTCCCAGCTGTGGAACAACACTAGGAGTGTATGTGTATGTTTGTGTGTGTATGAGAGAGAAAGAGGGAGAGAGCGAGAGGGAGAGAACACGCCCACAATGACCCATGGCTAAACGACAGTATCATCTGCCCCATAACCTCCCTAGCAGACATTTCAGAGGATCGAAATCAATAGCCGACTCCTTTCCCCTGAAATGTTAAAAAAAAAAAAAAAAAGAATCTGTGAATCTGTGAACACACATTTCCTCTCTCTTTGGAGCTATTTGTTGGATTTTCTTACACAAGGAGATACAGCCCTTAGAAATTACCTGGGGATATTTTCTGATTGTTTTTTAAAGATGTATTTATTTATGTGAAAAACAGAGTTACACACAGAGAGGAGAGGCAGAGAGAGAGAGAGAGAGAGAGGTCTTCCATCCATCCCCTGGTTCACTCCCCATTTAGCCGCAACGGCTGGAGCTGTGCCGATCCGAAGCCAGGAGCCAGGAGCTTCTTCTGGTTCTTCCACGAGGGTACAGGGGTCCAAGGACTTGGGTCATCTCCTACTGCTTTCCCAGACCACAGCAGAGAGCTGGGTCAAAAGTGGAGCGGCCAGGACTAGAACTGGCGCCCATGTGGGATGCTGGCGCTTCAGGCCAGGGCATTAACCCGCTGCACCACAGCGCCAGCCCTGATATTTTCTAATTGTATATGGAGCAGGAATTTGGAGTGCAGTTAAGCTACCACTTGGGATGCTTGCATCATATAACTGGAGCGCCTGGGTTTGAGAACTGAATCCTTGACCTCTTCTTTTTTTAAGATTTATTTATTTATTATTTGAAAGGCAGAGTTACAGAGAGACAGAGGCAAAGAGAGAGCGAGGTTTTTCATCCACTGGTTCACTCCCCAAATGGCCCCAATGGCCAGAGCTGAGCCAATCCAAACCCAGGAGCCAGGAGTTTCTTCCGGGTTTCCCACGTGAGTGCAGGGACCCATCTTCTACTGTTTTCCCAGGTCATAGCACAGAGCTGGATCAGAAGCGGAGCAGCTGGGAATAGAACCGGCACCCATATGGGATGCCGGCACTGCAGGCGCAGGCCCCTGAATCCCCCACTTTTGATCCAACTTCCTGTTAACAAACACCCCGGGAGGCAGTAGATGAAGAATTAAATCACTGGATTCCTGCCACCCGCATGGGAAACTCAAATGGGAAACTCAAATGGAGTTCCAGGCTCCTAGCTTTGTCCTGGCTGTTGCAAGTATTTGAAAAGTGAACCATGGGGCCAGCGTTGTGACATAGTCAGTTAAGCCACCACCTGCAGTGCTGGCATCTCATATCGGCACTTGTCCAAGCCCTGGCTGCTCCATTTCTAACCCAGCCCCCTGCTATGGTCTAGGAAAGCAGCAGAGGACAGTCCAGTGCTTGGGCCCCTGCACCCATATGGGAGACCTGGAGGAAGCTCTTGGCTCCTGGCTTTGGTCTGGCCCAGCTGCGGCCACTGTGGCCATTTGGGGAGTAAACCAGTGGATGGAAGATCTCTCTCTCTCTCTCTCTCTCTCTGTCTCCAGTGGATGGAAGATCTCTCTCTCTCTCTCTGTCTCTCTCTCTCTTCCTTTCCCTCCCTGCCTACCTTCCCCATCTTTCTGCCTTTAAAATAAAATGAAAAATAAATAAGACCTTTTTTTAATAAAATAAACTCTAGAGGGAGTATTTAACTGAAAACTGTCTCCAACATCCCCAGCTGTGTGGCTATCACTCCCAGTGTGCATCATAACCTCCTGGAATTTAAGGTTTCTCACAAAACCAAAGCCAGAGCCTAACCCCGCACCAACCAATTGAATCAGAAGCCCAGACATGGGCCTGAACATAGCTTGAACATGTCACAAACACTGCCCAGATTCTTCAGCTGAATGAGAACCATCCATCTTACAGAACAGATGGGTGGAACCTGCCACCACTCAATCTTCAGGGGCAGAATCACGAGCAGATTGGGTATCTCCATGGCAAGTTTGGTGCTATTTTCCCTGCACGATGTGCACCCATCAGTGGGGCCTGTCTGCTGTTGGTCTCATTGCTATCTACCCTCTGTCGGGCAGTGTTACAGTCCCCAAGAAGCAGGAGAAATAGGATGTAACAGAGAGATGAAAAACCTGGACCAGGGCAAGGTCTGGCTTCCCCTTGAGCACAACTGGGGTGCTATTCTGAGAGAGAAAGATGCCGCTCCCCATTCCCCAAATCTCCTCCTTGCCCCGCCCACATCATGGCCACATACTAAGTATCCCTGGGGAGGCAAATATGATTGCAATCGACAAAACCCACCTCCCGCCTAATCTTATTCCCAAACTATTTGCAACATTCGCCCGTCCAGAGGCCCAGACCCCAGGAGAAATGTATGCATACTTTTTTAGTGGGAACTTTGATCTTCAAGAATTCTGCCTCTCTGGCCAGCACCTGCCATGGGGCGTGTATCCGGACAAAGACAGATCCCTGGCTTTTACTCTGCAAGGTACAAAGAAGAAATGGAAACACTCGTAAGGACATGGCTTACATTCTTGGTTCCCCAGCTCTCCCAACTGCACCATTGCTCCCTCCATTTCTACTTTATTCTCTTCAAATTTCACCAGGGACCAAGTTCCCTCCCACCCATATCCAATTCTTTGCTTGGCTTGTATTCCAGAAATGTTCTCATCAAAAAACATAGAGTAGTGGCCAGAAGTACAGTGGCTTCACAGGGAAAGAAGAGTTCAAACAATTTTGTTCACAGATCTGAAATGTGAGTAATTGTGATGTTCACAGAAACTCCATTACATTGTTTTCAACTTTTATGTATTTATTTTCACTTTACTTGAAAGGCAAGGAGATAGAGATGACAGAGACAGAAATAAAGATAGAGACAGAGCTAGAGCTGGAGCTAGAGAGAGAGAGAGAGAGAGAGAGAGAGAGAAAGAGAGAAAGAGAGAGAGAAACAGAAACAGACTATCTTCCATCCATTGATTCACTCCCCAAATGCCTGCAACAACCAGAGCTGGACCAGACTGAAGCCAGAAGCCTGGAAATGCATCTGCATCGCCCATGTGACTGGCAGGGTCCCAAGTATTTGGATCATCATCCACTGCCTCCCATAGTCTGCTGGAATCAGAAACAGAGCTGGGACCCAAGCAGTGTGATATGGGATGCGGGTGTCCCAAGGAGTGTGCCAACCACTGCACCAAATGCCCAACCCCCATTGCACTCTTTTTTTTTTTGACAGGCAGAGTCAGACAGTGAGAGAGAGAGAGACAGAGAGAAAGGTCTTCCTTCTGTTGTTTCACCCCCCAAATGGCCACTACGGTCGGTGCGCTGCACCAATCCGAAGCCAGGAGCCAGATGCTTCCTCCTGGTCTCCCATGCGAATGCAGGGCCAAAGGACCTGGGCCATCCTCCACTGCACTCCTGGGCCACAGCACAGAGCTGGACTGGAAGAGGAGCAACCAGGACAGAATCCAGCACCCCAACCGGGACTAGAACCCAGGGTGCCGGCGCCGCAGGCAGAGGATTAGCCTAGTGAGCCCTGGCGCCGGCCCCATTACACTTTTGACAACCATTGGTCAGTTTACCACTGCTGGTGGTCGGTGAGCAGATTGCAGTTGGTTTCTCTTCACATATTTTCACTGTTTATTGCTCAGTTTTACATTTTTGTCCTTTTGTTATGCTGTACTATAGTCCCAAATACATTTGAGTTTAAACATAGTGATGTAGATAATTAACATAGTGCAACTCAAAGTAATGGCATGAACATAAATTGCAAACAGGGCTCCAGTGTAAATACAGAACACAGGGCTACGTCCCAGGACAAGTGATTGGGTTGTGTGCTGATTTCACCCAAAAATGAACAGGGAGAAAATGAAAGGCAGTAGTGTACGTTTGAAAATTAGATGATGTTAATGATTCAGTAGTGGCCCTTGTCATATTTGTTACAAGTATCTGTCACATTATGACAGGGAGCCATCCTCATCTGCCCAGAAAATCTTAAATGATTTTCAGAATAAGCTCACACAGTAAAAAAAAAAAAATCCTCTCTGATATGAATTTAATTAATTTCATCACTAAAGAAAGAAAACCAAAATCAAGCAGAAAAATGGCAAAAGTCCCAATACTGGTGAGAAGAGTCTAACAGTACTTGCAAAATTCAACACAAAATATTGTGTTTGGAGAGAAAGTGGAAGAAGCTGATAGCAAAATCCTTCTTCAAATGATGGTTAGAAGTCATAAAGAATCCACAGCCCAAGGGGGAAGACACTGCTGAGCTGGCCACCGTGACACTGATACCAGGATAAAGCCACTGAGGGCGGAGTGGGAGTCAGGCCCCACCAGCAAGGGGACTGTGCAGACAGAAGTGCTCTTCCGCCTTCGCCCACCCCACTGTCACAGCCCCGGGCACTCAGACTACAGGAGCGAGGAGGTACTTATGGATTTGATGTGTGTTTTGAGGAGCAGGATGCGTGGGGGTCGGTACTGAGAAGCTGTCAGCTCCTTGCACAGTAATGGTGTTGCTGTCCACGTAAAAGCAGTTCTCCCTTTTGAAAATCTGTCCCCCGCTGATTCATTGGCAACGACACACTGATGTTGAACAATGTGCCCTGTGGCCTTAGTTCAGTGTTGAGGAGAATCCTGAACACGGTCATCCCACAACCGCTGTCTGCCACTGCACAATGCCAGACAGAGAAGCAGCTCACAGGTGGAAGACGACTTCTTCCACAGAAGGGCAGGGACCAACGTGCTCACGTGGGTTTCGGAAATGATGATCAAGATATTTTACGGTGCCCACGTTTCCGGGGAAGACTGTTTCTATGACTTTTTAAATGGTGGCTCTACAATACATTCCCTAATTCAGATATCCAGGCCCTAACCCTACTTAGTGGATGCAAGCTCATGATTTATAACGTAGAAGAACGAAAATGAACCCAAAGTCCCAGAAGAAGGTTAAATTGTGACATGAAAAGGCTTGCACAGCCTGGAGTTGCGAGCACCTGAGAACCACCACCACCACCACGAGGTATATTTACTGTGTGTGTGATGTGCCACTGCTGAGGGACGTGGTCACCTTTCCTAGCTCATACAGCATCATATAGCTACCTTAGCTCATACAGTATCCACGACCCTGCTGTAAGTGGGCCAGGGGGGTACCATCATTATTTCTATTTTATAATTAAGAGATCCAGGGCAGTGCCAATTTAAATGATTTTCTCAAAGTCACATGGATAGTCCATAAAAAATACTTTTTAGATCTAGGCAGACTTTGTTCTACTTGATGATTTTGTCCTCTCACTGGGGACAAACAGGACAGGTCACTGGGCAGAGTGAAAACCACATCCAAGGGCTGTCATGGAACACAAGGACATGTTTTTAGACCAAACCCAGATCAGAGAGTAAATGATGGATCCACATGGCTGTTCTAAAAGCAAACACTCAACCTTCCAGTGTGCAAGCACGACTCAGTTCCGACAAGATCTGGAAAGTGGCCTCCAGCGAGATATCTCCCCAGTTTCCTTGCCCACCGTTGGCTGGGATACCCAGGACGACTGAACAGAGTCATCAATCACTTACTGCTACTTTTCACTGCAGGTTAGGATTTTCCAATTTAGTGCAAATGAGGGGTAGGAAAGAAACCACCTGTGACACTGACCTGCATCTCCAGTCCTCGGGCACAGCCCAGAAACGGTGTTTTTGGTGAAGGATGACAAATAGTACCATCCCTCTCCCTACAGTGAAATCATGACTACACTCGTTCTAATGTGCTTTGTCTTTATTTTTGAATGACGAGGAAGCCTTTTTAACTTTGTCTAGAACCAGGTGTGTACCAAATGTCCACTAAGCGGGTGCAGATGTTCAAAGTTGGAGGGACGGCGAGGAGGGCAAGGGTCAGATTCCACAGCCCTGGTGGCAGACTTCTAGCTGTCCCCTGACAGCCAGTCTCATTTGCTTCCATCTTTTAAAAACTTTTTATTTATTTATTGACTTACTTATTTTATCTGAGAGACAGACAGAGAGACTCAGAGAGCTCCCATCTGACTCACTCCCCAAGTGCCTGCAATGACTGGGACAGGGCCAAGGCAACTCAACCTGGGTCTCCCATGTGGGTGGCAGGGACCCAGGACTCAGGCCATCACCAGCTCCCTCCCAGGGTTTGCCTCAGTGAGAAGATGGAGTGATGAGCCAGAGCTGCGACTCAAACCCAGGAACTTCAGCCTGGGACATGAGCATGTCACCTGCGCAACGAAACACCTGCTCCTCATTCTCTCCACTTGTAAGATACAAGACGCACCTTCCTGCCAGCGCCGCGGCTCAATAGGCTAATCCTCCGCCTTGCGGCACCAGCACACCGGGTTCTAGTCCCGGTCGGGGCGCCAGATTCTGTCCTGGTTGCCCCTCTTCCAGGCCAGCTCTCTGCTGTGGCCAGGGAGTGCAGTGGAGGATGGTCCAAGTGCTTGGGCCCTGCACCCCATGGGAGACCAGGAAAAGCACCTGGCTCCTGCCTTCGGATCAGCGCGGTGCGCCGGCCACAGCGTGCTGGCCGCGGCGGCCATTGGAGGGTGAACCAACAGCAAAGAAAGACCTTTCTCTCTTTCTATCTCTCTCTCACTGTCCACTCTGCCTGTAAAAAAAAAAAAAAAGACACACCTTCCTTGCAGAACTGAAACAGTCAGTTCTGGCCAATGCTGCACAAGGTAAATTTCATCAAAGAACCAGTGCTTTGGGGACTGTGGCATCTAAAGATCCTGGCTGAGGACTCTGGATTTCACTGTCAGTCTGCGCATCTTCAAGCCTCCCCACTCCCAAACCTCTCAATAAATAAAGTGTTTTGACCCCAGGGGGATGAAAGAGAGCAAGCAGGTGCCTTTTCCCCCTTCATCACCTTCCCTCCCCCTACTCGGTTGCTTAGAAAAGCAAGCATCACAGATCTTGAGGTCAAAGCTCAGGCTAGGAAGAGAAAAGTGCCAAGAGAGAAGCTGGGTCTGCCTCCATGAGCGCCATGGAGGCCTGGGTCCCCTCCTGGAATTTTACGTGGAAGATAAAATTCTGCCTTGTTTAGCTGTTATGATTTTAGAGGTTCTATCAATTGCAGTTAACCATATACTACTAATGCAAAATTGTTTCCCAATGTGGAGACATTAATTTTTGCCAGCAAAGAATAGTTCTCCATTCTTCTCAAATGGAGCTTGTTTTAAGGGGCAATAAAAGCTGGAATGCAGATTTGTGGTGCTAACAACTCGTCATCATGTTCCTTCCATGCTGGGCAATATTGTTACCTTCTCATAAAAAGGAGAGCACGCGAGCTGATGTGAAATATTAGCTGGTGTGACTGGCTATGCCTCCCAAGGGAAAAACAATGGCTTGGAAACCCCTGAGCAGAACCATCACCAAATGCAGACTCTCTCTTCACTAACCCGGGAATCTGAACTTGGAGGCTCATATATATGAGGGTGCTTCAAAGTGTTCATGGAAAATGAAATTAAAAG